AGTGCATTGTGTTCACAGATCAATAGACCATGACAAGAAGTAAAAGATTGACAGAATAGGAGGAGCAAAAAAATCCTCTATACAATTATTTATTTTACATATAATTAACACATAATGCTTATTTCCCCTATTTTGGTCACTTCTCAATTGATATGTGAATAAAACATTTAGTGGCTGTATAAATATCAATAACCACTTTTACCATATCTTTTTTTAGCTCACCCATTGTCCGTTTTGTTTGTTTTGTGATTCAGTCATATGATGATTCAGAGTTAAGGAATTCAAACAACCTACCAATAGTCCACAATTTGGACAAACTGAATTTTTTTTTTTTAAACAGTTTAGACAATTCTATAAAAACTAGCCCAACATTGAGAGGTAAACATTATTTTATCTTATAGAGGCTGCTTTTAGCAGTGCTTTTAGCCAGTGCACTGTACACATCTTCAGGTAATTATATTTCATAAAAGCAGAGATAATTACTGAACAGCTAATACTAGATATATGTACAAATAGAAGATAAGATTATCTTCTGGTTAGAAAAATAAAATAATGACAACAGATAGAACATACTATTGGGAGGAAGGAACATAATATGGTTAATTAGATCAAAATTTCCAAACTGAAGTCATAGGTGGCTTGGGTAATTTTTTAAACCTAGCTTTTTTGTCCTATAATTTGAAATGAACTTTAAATTCACTTTGGGTTTCCAGTAATTCACACTTTGGTTAATGATATTTCAATTTAATTTTGTTATTTAAAAAAAAAACAAAAGACCATGCCTTTAGCCAAGTTTAGCTTTATTCTTATTCTTTTGAAAAAACATGCTTTTTAAAATAAATTTTACATCATCAAGGACTAGGGTTATTCCTGGAGAACAGGTGGCATTACGTGAATGGGCTTGAAGATAAACTAGATAAGGTTATGAAGGGCATTCCAGTTGGTAATGATTTCCAGTTATAGACATTATAGAGATCATTTATTGAAAATGCAAAACATGTTTCTAATATCTAATCTTTTGGCTTCATTGTCAGTTTTCTGTTTTGTTTGTTTTGTTTGTTTTGTTTTGGTCTTTTTCTGCTTAGAGATGCAATTAAGTAAAACCCATTGATGAACAAGGTGGTATGGTTAGTAAACATTTTTAAAAAGAACCTTTTCTAAAATGAAAGATAACAAAAATGTAAGAATGGAGAACAGTCCAACTATTGAAAAAAGTTGCTGAACAAATGTATTAAACCCTACATATATGCTATGAATCAATGCAATATAGATCAAAGTATAGAGGAGACAAAATATTAAAAATGTATATCATAAGTCTTTCAATGAATGTTTGATAATGTGTTGCATTTCAAAGCATTTCCAGCAGGTATTCTCAATTCATGCGCTAAATAGTCAGAATTTATTTTTTGTGTAATCTAAATTAATATACTATCTAAGTTTTTAAAAAAAAGTATAGTAATAAATATTAAACTAATTATCCAGAATCTCCTATACAATCAATTCAGGCTGTATTTATGTCTAACTAACACTTTGGTGTGAGTTTGACGTATTTTATTTCCTTTACAGTTTTTTTTTTGTTTGACTATTGGTGTTGAAGTGTTGGAGGGAACACTTGTGTTAAGGGATTTAGTATGTTCTATGATGAGCTTATAATGATTTTCAGTCTTTTTTGCATTACATTAATTAACACTCCTTTAAATCAGAAGTGAGGATGTAATTTTTGTGTAGCTACCTGCATCTACCTTACAAATCCCAGCTGTATTCCCAATATTAAGCATACACCAAGTAGAAAAAAAAATAAAAGGAAAATGCAATATGGTAATTACCTGATGTGTGCAAATTTGGTGCAGAGCTTTGTAGCACACAGAAATGGCCTAAAGGGCAAAATATATTAAAGATAACTCCTCTTCTAATGTTGGGCATTTTGGGAATTAAGTATAAAAAGGGAGTAGTGTACCTTAGGGGAACTGGGATATACAATATACTCATACGGAGGGTGCCAGCTGTCTTCCAGACTCGGATGTCACAAATAAAGAAAATAAATACATTTTATTATAAATCAAATAAAAGGAACCTAAAGTTGGAAAAGCTTACACAAAGAGATGCTCATGTATATAGGTGTAACTGCAGGTGTAAGATAAATAGAATGGTCACTAAACTGTGTCAGTGTGAATTTTTTAATTCTTTATTTTTGCAGTGCAAATAATGAAAGATATGCCAGTGTTGCCAAGATAGCATAGATAATTATTGAATATCAAACATATAGTTACTTAGACTCTTGGCGTGTAAACAAATTTAACATTTTTTTTAAAGGAATACTATAAGGTCAGGAACACAAACATGTATACCTGACCCTATAGTGTTAAAAACTATCTATACCCCCTGGTTCCTCCTTGCCTCCTTAAATATAGTATAATCTTCAAGTCTGCAGCTGCTGCCTCTGCCCCTAAACTGCCTGCTATCTGTTGACATCATCATAAGTGATTCTGTGAGCCAATCACAATGATTTCCCATAGGATTGGATGAAACTGTCAAGGAGTCAGATCAGAGGCAAAGCCAGCACAAGTCAATCAGCTTCTCCTCATTGTGATGTATTGAATCAATGCATCACTATGAGGAAAGTTCCGTGTCTGCATGCAGAGGGTGGAGACACTGAATGGCAGTACTGCACTTTTAGTAGCCATCTGAGGAGTGGCCAGTGGAGTTTTCACTAGGCTGTAATGTAAACACTGCATTTTCTCTGAAAAGACAGCGTTTACTGCAAAAATCCTGAGGGGAATGATTATACTCACCAGAGCAAATACAATAAGCTGTAGTTGTTCTGGTGACTATAGTGTCCCTTTAACCCCTTAAGGACCAAACTTCTGGAATAAAAGGGAATCATGACATGTAACACATGTCATGTGTCCTTAAGGGGGTTAAAGGAAAACAGGAGGAAAAGGAACATGTCTACAGTACAAACAGACTATGCATGGTAACAAGTGGTTTTATGATGGACATGGAATGTATTATGTGGGAAGGTAAATAACATTAAGTAGAAAGGCTGGTGTGGTGTGCGTGGATCAAGATGCTCCATAGTAACTAATTTAACTCTCAAAGCGATGACAGATGAGGAGCATGTGATCTTAAGTGACTCTTCTAAATATTTTAATTTTTACACCCTGTTCCAAATTATTATGCAAATTGTCACACAGATTAAATATTTAGTTTTTCAGTTTAACTCATGGATTGCATTGTGTCTCAGGGCTCTTTTGATCACTGAAAACAATCTCGGATACCTGTGATAATTAGATTGCCAGGTGAGCCCAATTTAAGGAAAAACTACTAAAGGAGGGTATTCCACATTATTAAGCAGAGCACCATTTTCATGCAATATGGGGAAGAAAAAGGATCTCTCTGCTGCCAAAAAGAGTGAAATAGTTCAATGCCTTGGATGAGGTATAAAAACATAAGATATTTAATTAAAACTTAAGCGTGATCATCGCACTATTAAGAGATTTGTAACTGATTCAGAACACTGAGGAGACCATCCCAATGTCATTTTTGACGAAAACGGAAGTAAACAAAGGTTACTATGGATGATAGGATGCCCGATCAGGTTGCGTCTGA